TGCTACCATTAAGTCTCGCGAAGAATATACATTATAATGTCTGCTTCTAAAAATGACAAATTACTAGTTTTGATAAATATTTTCACGCCACCGAAAACCTATAATTAAATAAATAGTCGCTAAAATCTAAGAAGACTATCAACAGAGAGATATTTACGAATCTCCCCCACCATGTTTGTTACAATATGAAACACTTCCAAATATGACACATATACCTTACATTGTATGTATTAGAAAATTGAGAAATATCACTTAAATCTCCCACTAAGGAAGGCATCAGCTGGCTCTAGAATATCACAATGTAACGTAATAATCTAAATAATATGAAAAATATTCAAATCAAAATATTAATTTGACGGTTACTTCCAAGTAAGAAAAATATGGGAACTTGAGCTAGATGTAAACAACAAACTAGAGTTAAATGCAACCAACAACACTTAAAACTATTTTCAAAGACCTCAAGACAAATGTCATTTCCAGCTGAATGGTCCTTTTCAAATCAAGTTAAAGCTTGGACAGTGACACAACAAAGACTCTTGAAAACATTTGCCACAATTGAGATGAACCACACATAAAATATGGATGTGAATGTTAGTCTTTTGTGAATATGCAGAGCAAAAGCAAAAAAGATAAAAATTCACGTTTGTTTTCTTTTGATTCTTATTCTGACCGTCCTTTAATATTTATAGTGTTTATTGCCGAGTCTTAGAATGGAATGATTAAAGTCGACAACTTGGACATTTTGGACGAAGGTGTTAGCTTTAACTATTTCTTGAAACAATATGTCCACAGGTGATGCACATTATCAATAATTAGCAAACACGATTCTGTTCTTGGAATGGAGATGTTTCTTATAGCAGGCTGGACTGAACAATATTAGCTTGGTAGTTGATTAATGAACTAATTATTCTCCTTCCGAAATGCAAGGTCTAGAGCCTAAATAACCATGGCATTACGTATATAAATCTTGTGATACAAGAAAAAACATCAAAATTATTTTGATGAGGATTAAACGTGAATGTAGATTCCATCCAGGAAACCTTGTCCTCGAAGTTCTAGAATGCACAGCAATCATCGGGATCACAGAAGCTAACCTCAGTAAGTTAGTCACTACAGTTGGTAAACAAGCAATTACCAGACAACATGTTGTTCTAAAAAATTTCACGTTTCATCAGTTTAGTATTAGGGTATGTTGATAAAACAGTAAAAGATTATAGTAATTTAGTAAATGAAACGGATTTGTATGCGGTTGAATTGGGAGACAGGTTTGATTTATATACTTGGCAAAAGAAAGACACAGTACTAATAGATGAACGATATAAAGATACTTCGTCGCATGTATATGATAAATACTGAGATCTAATAGCTGAAAGTAATAAGCTCCGCGAGTTTCTTGACTCAATTGTTGGTATTTAAACTTTTATTATTGCGTAAAAATTTTGAAAAAAATATTATAAAATGACAAAACATACCGATTTCGTTCATATTTTAGAACAAACTCCAAAACAAGATGTTGACGCACTAGTGCAATATTATAAATTTTGTCATAAAAACGTTTGGTGTGTAAAGCAGTTATAATTACTATCGTATAATACTTCGAGCAATATTATATTTACCACTGTTGATGACCAGTTTTTACATAATCTCTAGTGGAGCATTATTAATAATATCTGGTGTTGGTGTCTCTTTCAACAGCATGTAAGACAATGGAACCCGGACTTGAGACTAAAAAAATATTCTTTATAAAATAACAAGTATCACTTACAAAAATTTACCTGAGTAGATACGATCTTACTTGCGATGTGTAAAATATGATATGAATGATTTAATACACTAATTACGTATTATTGACAGTATGCTAACGGATATTCTATTACTGAGAGTCAGAAGTTATGAAAAACGATTATCATAAATAAGCTTATAGTAGTATATCGCATCAACCATATTGTCAATAAGAAATTTTGTCTCACAACATTAATTCATGGAGGGATTGGAGGGTCATGGATCAGAGATACAACTCTCCTTTGTCTAATTTATAAGGTACACAAAACTGTATAATTCATAAAGTACTAAAAATGTTTTATTAGGGGAGGTGGGTCTCTGGTCCAGAAATCTTCAAATCAAATTTTATACCACGTTATTTTGTGCTAGAAAAGGCTGGTAATAAAATTGTCATGATATATTGGTTTAAAAGGGGGGAAAGGGGTCTCTGGTCAGAAATCTCATATTTGATTACTACTTGTATAACTGGCTACTTATTAATTCGTATTTCCCTCTAAGTATGACTACTTACCATTTCGTATTTCTCTCCATGTATGTATGTATGTATGTATGTATGTATGTATGTATGTATGTATGTATGTATGTATGTATGTATGTATGTATGTATGTATGTATGTATGTATGTATGTATGTATGTATGTATGTATGTATGTATGTACGCATTGTATGTATGTATGTACGCATTGTATGTATGTATGTACGCATTGTATGTATGTATGTATGTATGTGTGAATGTGTATCAAAGACTTTAAAAAATGGTACTAACAGCCGCATCGCTTGGTGCTCAGTATTAAAAGGTTAGTGTTATGACTGGTCAGCGCGGTGTCAAGATAATGTGACTGGGTGGGACATAATGTCACATGTCTGCGGCGTGATGCCCCAGTGCTAGACATCACTATAAACTGCAGACATCGTAGCTATATGACTGAAACATTATTAAAGCTGCATTAAAAATCTAAATCACAAATCACACATTTGTTTTCAGTAAAAAGAAAATACCTCTAGAAAATATTAATCTTGTTTCAAAGAAATCAGTTTATTTTCTGAAAGTAAGGAAATATATTGTGTTCTTTATCACGATTATTTATTACTTTCTGAATAGGATACATCTGATATATAGGTACACTCCCACCCCACCCCACAGTAATTCGTGAGTAGCTAGTTATACATGGAGAGAAATACGAATTGGTAAGTAAATAGTTGCACTTGTAGAGAAATACGAGTAGGTAAGTAGTTAATTATAATTATTTGGCTTGTTGTGAACAAATAACAGATATACTTAATTTCATGAGTGAAAAACATTATTTCCGCGTGACTTCGCCACTATTGGAAATACTGAACTTTTAACCCACCTAATGTTGGGAATACGTTTGAATTGACATTCTGCACTTAACTACTGAGACATGTTTGTCAACCAGTAAACTCTAGAACTTGTTGAGTTATACTACTGTAGGAAGTAACGAAGAACGAAGTTGCCAGATTGCTTTGATGTTACGCAGAAATTGGTTTCTCTTTATGATACGGAGGTTTCTCTTAGTAGCAACACAAAACGAGGTTTGGTGACAGTGTTGGAAGTTTAAAGCGAACGAAATAAAATAATATGCAGATTGACATAGACAACACACATATCATCTCATATTTTAAAAGTTGTTCTCATTTCTCAGAATAATTTTCAACTTTCAGATTGGATTTTCAGCCAGAAGAGGAATTTTTTTGTAAAAGGGATAATAGTAAGATTCCAATGGACATTTACGTTGTCATATTTACCATATTGAAATATCTTGTGGAAACGTAATAATATACCAATATGAAGGGAAACGTTATATGAAACAGTATAATAATAATAATAATAATAATAATAATAATAATAATAATAATAATAATAATAATAATAATAATAGCAACAAATCATAATGTGATGACTGAAACTAATGGCAAAGTTATATGTATTGCAGGCAAATTCACGTGGTTTCGAACGAAAGCTTAGCATACATTGCTATTCATGAAACAAATAGTCGCTAATAGTTAAATAACGATACTAATTACTGTAACTTATCAAGTGGTCTAGTGGTTAGAGCGTCCGCCTCGGATAAGGGATGTCGTTGGTTCCATCCCCGGTCGAGTCATAACAACGACTTATGGACAAATTGGTCTAATATAAAATCTTTGAAAATGCAAAGAAGTATTATCAAATATCTTCATGATGCATGGCTAACGGGAAAAGTTGCAAAAAGGAAGGGGATGATGAAAATAATACCTAAAAATTCCCTATGCAAGACTAATAATTTTACCAAAACTCATGTCATGAATGAATGCAAAACAAATAAAGAGCAAAGGGAAAAATTATTAAATCTATATCAAAATCATAAAATACCAGAAAAGGGAATATTATATTTGGATGCAAAATTTCGAAAAACAAATCCCTTTTAACCAAATAAATTATATAATAGACACTAAGAGAGAATGTGGACAGGTCATAGCTATACGTAGATAACCTGTTCTACCCAAATTTTCTAATTAATGCTCTTTTGGATGCATAAAATCAAAAATAATTATTTTTCTGGTACTTTTTCTCATTTTTTCCCAAATAGTTCTGTTAATCAAACGTATATAGATGGAATCCTATACTAACATATTTAAAGTAATAATTCTTATGCTGTATATATATATATATATATATATATATATATATATATATATATATATATATATATATATATATATATATATATATATATATATATATATATATATATATATATATATATATATATATATATATAACTTTAATTTGTAAGGGACAAGTAATCTGTACATGGATGAAGTAAGGGACAGAGACGCCATAGGGCTATGCCAAAAGGCGCTACGCGAAGTAGGAGGGCTTTCTAAAAAGACATGCAGAAAAAGGACATACAGTAGAGAAACATAAAGGGAAAATTATTTTACGTAAATGGATTAAAGAAAAATGAAACAGGAACTAATACAAAACCCTTTTGTACACACACACACACACACACACACACACATATTTTGTTAGGAAATGTCGTGCAGAAAAAAAATGTACTTGACTTTGCATGAGATTATTATGAACGTACAATACAGTACCATACCGCCCTTTTGACGACTGAAGTGAAGAAGTAATTATGTAAGCCATGAGGATTGCCGCTACCTAGGAGAAAGGAATGCCACTATGAATTGCCCATACTTTTTTTAAAACCGCTCCGGTGGCCCAGTGGTTACAGCGTCCGCCTCGTATGCGGGAGATCGTGGGTTCGATCCCCATTCGAGTCATACCAAAGACTTACAAAAATGATACTAACAGCTGCCTCGCTTGACGCTCAAGCATTAAGAGATTAGTGTTAGGACTGGTCGGCCAGGTGTCAGGATAATGTGACTGGGTGGGACATCATGCTACATGTCTGCGGCATGATATCCCCGTGCTAGACTCACTAAAACTGCCACACTGCAGACATAGTACCGATATGACCGAAAAATTGTTAAAGCTACGTTAAAAATCATAATCACATCAAATCGCCTACTAATTACTGTGGTCAATGTTTCTTTTGTATACTCATTCTGGCCGCAAATTACACTAGAAATATGGTACCATTTTTGTGTACTGATTTTTTTCCCCATCGATTTGAAGTGAGGTAAGAGATTATCTTCACATTGTATCCACTTCTAAAGAGCAGAACCAGAAATCAAAGACTACAGCCGTCTAGTAGTTATAGTAATGAATGATAGAATTGCATTACTGTGATACTACCTACAGGTAAACATCATAATGACACGGTGGTCATAGTCAATACAATTATATTTATGTTATTAAATTAGGACTTGTTAATATAAAAATGATTCCTAATGGAAGATAAAGAACACGCGCACACACACACACACACACAGATACACACACACACATACATATATATATATATATATATATATATATATATATATATATATATATATATATATATATATATATATATATATATATATATATATATATAGAGAGAGAGAGAGAGAGAGAGAGAGAGAGAGAGAGAGAGAGAGAGAGAGAGAGAGAGAGAGAGAGAGAGAGAGGGTGCGGCTGGTCTATGCCAAACCTTCACTAAGTGCCATCCTTACACGATTGATGAGAAGGTATGGCTTTTATGTTTATCCTACAATCGAAGTAAATTTTTAAGTTCAGACTCCACATATCTGAATTTCTCGTATGAAGTTGTTAAACTAATTTTTAGCTTGTATCCTATTAATTGGCGTGATGTTATGATGAAAATCTATGGTGAAATTAAAAAGTGTCAGAGTGGATAATTTTTTAATATTTTGTGCCGTATACACAAAAAAACTATGTGAAGTATAATAACCAAACAAATCCCATAAAAAAAAGAAAAAGAAAACTACTGACGTACCAACGACTCCTTTAAACCACAAATCCCTATCAATGATGTACACGACATTACACGCTAAAAACTATAAATCACTTATATATTAACCTTCAGGGTACTTTTGTTTTCTTCTGTATTAGATGAGCATTTTCAATCACTTTTTTAAAAATAAAAGTAAGAAAAACTAGATATTTTCTGAAAATTGTTTAAAAATGGTCTTATTGTATCAAAGTAAACATACATACATACATTCATACATACATACGTACGTACGTACATACATACATACATACATACATACATACATACATACATACATACATACATACATACATACATACATACATACATACATACATACATACATACACACACACACACACACACACACACACACACACACACACACACACACATACATACATACATACATACATACATACATACATACATACATACATACATACATACATACATACATACATACATACATACATACATACATACATACTTGCATTAAGTTAAACAATTATTCATGATCATTTTGCCGTAATCATTCAAATTGTTCAAAAATATCCAGAAAGAACTGGCACAATCCTGGTACTCAGGTATTTACGTAAGTCGTAAAAATAAACTAAAGAATGCAGTGGCAATACTAAGAAAATCTAAAGTGGCAAAGCTTATAAACCCAGACAGTAGATATTAGTATTATTCAAAGTCGCATTTCCCGATACGAACAGACATGAACCGTCCTACTTGGAACGTCGTACTTTTTATTGCTGTATGTACAGTGTTTGTCCGCACGGCTCATAGGTAAGGCTTCAAAGGTTTTATACCTTCTATTGTAGTTTCATATTATTAGATTTAACAGGTCTTGTTTAACGAAGAAATAAAGGATTTAATAGCTCTCCGTATGATTCCTGTGTTGCACCGAATGATGAAGGCGAGGAATGACGAGGATGAGGAATTATGGGGACGAGTTATAACGAGGATGAGGAATTATGGTGACGAGGAATGACGAGGATGAGAAATTATGGGGACGAGGAATGACGAGGATGAGAAATTATGGGGACGAAGAAGACACATTGCAAAACTTGGAATGTCATATAAGCTTAATAACATGGAAATACATTGAGATTTATGTAGGAAATATGCTATATTTTCATGCCAGAAAAACCAGTTGTTCTAATTATTTAGTTTAATTTTAGTAAGTTACTCATATTTCAAACAAATGTACTTGCGTATTGTCATTACATATTTTATGTAGCATTTAGCTGAAATTTTGTTACATCCAGGCAGTAATCTAATACCGCATTATGAGATTAACAAAAATCTAGTATAACGTGTGAATATGTAAATGAACATTTTAAATGCTAAATGCTTTAAATAAGGCTAGAAACAGTTTATTTTCACTTTATATATATATATAGATTCTGTCATTATTTCATACTAATAAACTGTTTTTACAGGTCCTCGTCATTGTAGCTCAGGCGTTTTTACAGGTCCTCGTCATTGTAGCTCAGGCGTGATATCATCCTTTTACTCATTCGGGTAAATCGCAGTGTACTGTATAAAGACTAAAGGGAAAGAACTCTTAGAAAATAATTGTAAGGATTGCAACATGAAATAGTTCACGTAATTACTTTGCTGTTCCTCCAACTTGCATTTAAAGTGATGAATATATTTGATTATCGATTCTTTAGGTTAAATGTGGCGAAATCCTGTTACAGATTTGCATGTTCCTTCTACAGGATGTATTTCATTCGATCAGACTTACGACATGGTTGTGTGCATGTATACATGAATATTGATGTAAAAATACTTACACCAATGCAATTATAGAAGGTGGGCATACTATTATCAAGAAAGTATATCACACCTGCCGCATGCAAATAAAATATTTAAACAGGTATAAATTGTTAACTTCGAACAGGTATCACTTGTTAGAGCGGAAACATTATGTGGTTGTTTTTTTAATATTGTGTTGCGACTGTTTTATAAACCGGCACCGACGTCAGAATTTCTAAAACTAATTTCTCCGAAACGTAGGCATTTATCATTACTTTCACTTTCCAATGTACTTATGGCGCTCATGTACCTTACAAACTTAAACCATTTTATTCAAAATGTTGGTATACTTACGTCATTATTATAATTTATCCGTGTTTTCCTTGTCATAATGTTTTTTTAACTAATTTTAGCAATTTAGATATTTCGATGATGAATTATTTACGTTTTATAAAGAAGAAAAATATTTTTAAAATTAAAATATTATCCATAATTGGTATCCATCTAAATGGGTCGAAGAGAGATGATGTAGATGTTAAAATATCTTTAGTATTTCATTCAACCAGTTTGTTCTTTTTGAGTAAGCTGAATAGTCTCTCCTTTAAAGAACAATCACCTTACTCTCTACAGTACAACCGTAGATAAAATGTTGACACCCCGACAACAGAAACCCACACCAATAAGAACACCAAGAATAACATAGGTATTGAGCACTTTTAAGACCAGTGATCTAATATAAACCTTTAATTGTTTCCTTAATTATAATTTTCTTAAATATTTATATAAAAAGTGTTTGAAAGTGATTAGACTATTTAACAATTTTAAGGTTTCATTCCTTACTTCTGAGTAGAATTTTTACCTTGGTTTCCATTTATGTAGACATGATACGGATTAACTAAGTTTATGCTTATTGTGATACATCTATAGCACATGGTAAATCCCTATTCAGTTTGCTCTCTACAGTTCTATCATCTTTATTACTAAAATATTATGTTGTATCCTATGTAGCCTTGGAATGTGCCAAAAACTTTGGATATATATTTGCACACGTGTATGTGTCTATCAACACATACAGGTAGGTCAGTAGGTTGGCAGGTAGGTATTATATGTTATAAAAGGATTATTTCCCAGACTACAAAATAGTGTTATTTTATAAGATAATTCAACAATTAATTTTTAAACTTGAAAGATCTTTTTATGTTAGCATTTTGTTACTTTAGACATCTGGTATATCTTAACAAATCTGCTATGTTGAGATTGTAGTTTTCAAAACTGATTTGTGTTCAAAAGAGGTTTTCATTTTCACCGACTGTGTTGATATGCTCATTTTTCTGCTAATATGACATTAGCTGCTCAGTTATACAATAATTAAACAGTTAACTGATTAAAACATTCATTACAATATAGGCTTGACCCGACACGTGTAATAGATACTACAATGTTAAAGAATTTTTAAAAATCAAAACAAATAAAATCAGTATAATACCTGGCGTTTCTACCATTTGATTTGTAATGTCTGTGTCAATATTGCAAGGGGTGGTAAAGCAATTTAGATCACAGTGTGTCGTGTAATTTATTATCAGATCCAACATTTGTCACATAATAATAATAATAATAATAATAATAATAATAATAATAATAATAATAATAATAATAATAATAATAATAATAATAATAATAATAATAATAATAATAATAATAATAATAATAATAATAATAATAATAATAATAATAATAATAATATGTTGTTGTCAGGCGTAACAAAGCATAATGAAACAAAAGAGTGGTACAAATGTAACGACAACTGAGAGAAGACGATAACAATGACGATCAAGACTACTAAATGTCTGACAAGATTACATACAGTTAATAATATGTTCAAACTATTTGTTATAGTACGTAATTTATGCTCACTACCGTCAGTTCATATGTTAAAAATTGTGATATGTGACATCGATATTGTGGGGTTATAAATTGCTTTAATGGCCTCATCACTAACTGCTCAAACATATTTACTAAAATGTCCGACAATTAACAGCAAATTCAAATCAAGAAAGTTTCGGTCAAAAACGTGGGCGCATTGCTGGTACTTTATTCATTAGGTTTGAAGCTATT